CAAAAAATAGGTACAGAAAAAGTGTGTTTAAAATGCTATCATTTTTTTAAAATGCTACCATTTTTTTAATAAAGGAAAGGAAAACAGATATAAATAAATTCCTTAATAATGTGAAGAAATATCTCTAAATGGATACACAGAAACTGGTGACACTGGCTGCCTCTAGAAAACATAATTGGAAGGTTAGATGCATGAATGACAGATAAACTTTATACTAAGTAATAAAAATAAGAAGAGATATGAATCAATGCATATGAACAATTCCAAGAATCAAATTAATGTTTCCAAGAACTAAATTTGTTCATGATTAACATAAAAACAGCAAAATATCATGAGTCAAAGCCAACTTGACATCAACTAAGAAGAAGAAAAAATTATAGAATCCTACCATTTCTGAAATATATTTTGGTGCATTTTCTACCAATCTATTTTCTATGCATATTGCCTACATAAATAAACAAAACACACATAAAACAAAATGTCTCAAAACATTAAATGATTTAATCATTCTTAGATAATAAATTTTTTTTTTCATAATTTAAAAGGTACACTAGATTCTATTACGAGGCACTCCATAATGAAACAAAGATCAGTCACTACCAAACACAGGTTTCCTTGCATCCCTAACAGAAGCTTATTTTTTTAAATGTTAAACACATCAACCTGTATATAATCTTAAGAATTTTGAAATTCTCATTTCTTCCACATTCCTACTGCCATTGAAGACTCTAAAAAATGCTTATGAAAAATAAGAGGCAATATAAATATGCTATGCAGTTTTTGTTGTTAAGTGCCTTCTAGTTGGTTTGGACTCATAGCATAGGGTTTCCAGGAGTGGCTGGTAAGTTTGAACTATCAACCTATGGTTCAAACCAACCTTGTGGTCCAGTGCTTTAATCCCACAGGGCCACACCAATTTTTTACAAAACTTTTACAACTCAATAAATGTATAGTTCGATTACTGTTTTTGTAAGCAAGCGATAAACTTACAGGTAAGTATCTGAACAGTTTAATCTTGTCTGATTTTCACACATACTACTCACTCTGATGTTAGCAGTAAGATGGGATATTATTTGGCCAACTACTAGTGAATTATTATTTCCTGACACTGACCAACAATAGTTGCAAACATCATAGAGAGAAACAATCAGACATTATATGCCTTCTGATGAAAGACACACCACCACCACCTATGAAGTACTCTTAAGGAAAAAAGTTCAAATCTAATTATGATCAAGTGTCAAGATACAATTATTAATTTACAGGAATTAAGAAACAAAAAAGGGGGTGGGAATGATGCAGACAGAATTTTATGATTCAAATGTGAGTAATTAATAGCAGGATTGTGATTGCCTGAAATTGTACAAGATGTGTAACTAAAAGGGAGGAGTAGTTAACTTTCATTTTAGGAACAGACTATTTTAGGACCAGCAAGAAGGAAGAGCATGAGTGGATTGTGAGATAAAGGTAGAAGCGGTGTCAGAGGCAGCTGGGGGCTCAAGGCCCATGGACTGAGTAAGGCTGTGATCACGAGGCTGGCTTACAGAATATAGTCTTTGAACATTTCAATGAATATATATTTTTTTCTTTGTTCATCTGTGAAATGTAAGATGTAAACCGGGAAGCACAGGGAGGAAGTAGGCTAACTGCTATTGTAAGGAAGGGATTGTAATCATTGACATGAAACAAAATGTATGATTTGTTGAGTGTAAAGCCGATGATCTTGTCTGTAAACCTTCACTCAATTCACAAAAAGTTAAAAAGCAAACAGAGGAACACATTAAATCACACCAACAGGGGTACAATCTACTACAGAAAAAAAAATGAACTGGTTTCTTTTAAAAAAAAATAAGTAAATTGCAAGGAAAGCAAAAAGAGGAAAAGAGAGAAGCAGCAAATAGAGGAGACGAGAAGAACGGGAGGGAAGGAAGGAAGAAATGAAAGGAGAAAAAGACAGCGAGAGAAATGAAGGGGAAGCCTAAAGACTAAGATGAGAGTTCAACCCTATCACAGTGTGTAAACCATTTAGAATCTTGAATCAAATAAATTGTATTAAATAAAAAGGCAAATTACTGGATATTTAATATCCTGGTGTGGTGCTATGGGATAAAGCACTGGACCACAAGATTGGTTTTAACCACAAGCCTGGCGGTTCAAACTCACCAGCTACTCCTTGGAAACCCTATACATGGTTGCTATGAGTCGGAATTGACTCAATGGCACTTAACAACAACACTTTTATATAAAAGAACATTTATTTGCTCTTGAAGTAGTGGATGGAGTTACTCTGAAAATTTTAAAGTCCTTCTGTTTCAGAGACATACTTAAATATACATGGAATGATATCTGGAATTTGTTTGAAAATCACATGGGATGACCTTATGAATATAAATGTAAAAATATGAAATACGAGCAAACCATATCCAACATGATATTAAAAGGATTATATACTATGAGCAAATAGGATTTATCCCAGGAATGCAAAGGGAGTCAACACAAAATTTAAAAATGAATGAATACACCACATTAGTATCAAAGGAAAAGAAGCACATTATCTCAATTGAAGAAGAAAAGCAATCTGACAAAATCTAATGCCTTTTTCTCATATGATAAACAAATTCAGAAAACAAGGACTAGAAGGGAAATTTCCCAATATGAAAAAGGTCATTTCTAAAAAGCCTGTAGAAAGGCTGAAAGCTTTCCTCCTAAAATCAGGAATAAGACAAACATGTTTACTTTTACCACTGCTAGTCAACACTTTACTGGAAATTCTAGCCAAAGGAAATAGACAAGAAAAATAAATAAATTCAAGCATCCAATTCAGAAAGGAAAATTATCTATACACATGGACGGCATGATCTATCTTATTTATATATTGTTGTTAAGTGCCGTCTAGTCGATTCCGACCCACAGTGACCCTGTATAGGGTTTCCTAGGAGCAGCTGGTGAGCTTGAACCACCGACCTTGCAGTTCAAACGACTCTGCAGTCTGACGCATTAGCCCACAGCGCCACACCATATTAGGATGCTTCAAAAAGTTCATGGAACAAAAGGAGGGGAGAGAGAACAAACAAGATGGCGGATTGGGTGGAAGTGCAGTAAAGAGCTCTGCCTGCAACAACACAGAATACGCGACTAAGCAGGATCAGGGGATGGTCCCAGAACTCTAAACCACATATAAAGGAATATTTAGAAGGCTGGAAGGCTTACAGTTGGCAGAATTTGTGGCAGAAGCAAGAAATCCATTATTTCTCCTCTGGGACGCTCGGCTGCTCCAGGAGCCGCCATCTTGGGTGAGACCAAGCTGGGGAAGGATCAGAGCAGCCACAGATGCCTGGCAGAACCGCAGATAAAGGTGTGGGCATTCTTTTCTTTTGGTAGCTGTTCATTGGTCCCTTGCTGTCTGCGCACCTCCATTCTCGTGACTATAGGGGTGCCTAAACTAGTGGGCACCCCAGCCCCACCCTCAGAAGGTTCTGCTTCACATGAGCACAGATCTCCTTGAAATTTAAAGAGACAGTTTCCAATTAAAACCAAACGTCCGCAGCCGGCCCTGAACTGTTTATAACTAGAAAAAAGGCTTGAACAGGGATTGTGGAGTGGGACAAACAGACAAAAGAGGAAACAAGACGAAAATTAAATCCTAAGTTACATTAAAACGACCAACAGTGGCATCTTGAAGTTTCTCAAGTAGAAGAGTGAAAAGGGAAGCCCATTCCCTGATCACATCTACCTGGAGGCAATCAGAAACCATAAAAAATACCAAATTACATACCCATCTAAGTATTAAGTACACAGATAACCCATGAATATGCCCAAAAAACAGAAGCAGATGACCATATCTGTACATGTACAGAAATGAGATAAAGTGACTAAGGAAAATGAGCGGGAAGTAGACCTACACTCCATACTGGAAGATGGGCAGCCTTTAGAAATGCCTGAAAAGGAATTCAGAAAAATGATTATAAAATGTGTCAAAGCACTATACAATGGAGTTGAGAAAAATAAGGAAGAAGTCAGAAAAGCATTACAGGAACAATCAAATAAGATAGATACAGCATTGGAAACAACTCAAAACCTACAGAAAGAGGTCCAAATGATTAATAATATAATATCAAAAATGGACAATACAATGAAAGGACAAAGGAGTAGAATTGAAGAGATAGAAGCCAGAACTAGTGAGCTAGAAGATAAATCTCTCAACACTATTAATATAGAAGAATAAATACAAAAAAGGATTTAAGAATCTGAAGAAGGCCTAAGATTCATGTTGGATAACATGAAGAGGAATAACAAGAATTATTGGCATTCCAGAACAGGAACAATCACAAAAGTCCACAGAGGAGATAGTGGAGGAACTTCTGTAAGAAAATTTTCCTAATATCCTGAAAAGATAAGCATTCAAGAAGTTTAACGAACCCCAGGATGGATAGACCCTAAAGGACAATCACCAAGACATAATAATCAAGCTCTCCAAAATCAAGGATAAAGACAGGATCTTGAAAGCAGCTATGGAAAAGAGAAACATACAAAGGCAAGCAAATCAGATTAAGGTCAGATTTCTCAACAGAAACCAAACAGGCAAGAAGGCAATGGGGAGACATATATAAAACCCTGAAAGAAAAAAACTGCTACCCAAGAATCCTCTGCCCAGCAAATCTATCAAATATGATGATGTAATCAAAACATTCCAGGATAAGCAGAAGCTAAGGGATTTTGCCAAAGTCAACCCTGCTTTGAGAAACATCCTAAAGGAAGTTCTGTGGACTGAGAACCAACAAGAACCCACAACAATTATAGAACGACGTACATGGCAGCATCAACCTGAACTCAGTTGAAAAATGGAAAAGTCAAGAACAGAATAAAATTATAAGAACAGAGGATCTGGAAGGTCAGTCTATGATTAAAACAATTACAATACGAAAAAAGGTAAATACAGAGGAACAGAGATCCAGAGAAGGTCAGGTAAATTACTAGATAAAATAGACTATCTTAAATGGAGGGAAGAACTAATGGAATATAAGGTAACCACAATGGGGTTGGAGTGGGGGGTTTACTTTGGATGTTGGGGAGGGCAATTCAAGAAGGGGGGAGGAGGCAGAAGAACAAGATAGATAGGGGAACACTGAGAAAGGTTTGCATGGCCTAGTGGGACACAGGTAAATAGGGATTCATACTCAACCTTGGAACAAAAGGGCTCTGGGATACAGGGATCTAGGTATAGCTTGAAGAGGGTAAATAATACTAAAATCTTTGACTGCCTTATGAATATTAGTTTCCCTTGCCTACTATTGTAAAATAGACACTTGAGTGGGATAGAAAGGAATGTTGGGAAACATGATTAAAGAAAACTTGTAAGCCCACCTTCAGCCAATAACTGATTGGAATACCTAAAAGGGGTTCTACAACTCGCCCAGTGAAATAGCCCTCGTGCAAAGCCTTTACAGAGTATAGGACCTTAGGTGGAATCCTGAGTCCCATCCACAACCTTGTGAGGTGAGACATTCCCACTAGAAAGGACAAGCAGACTGGAACAGCTACAGTGACAGAAGATATATTTTCAGGATGAACCTGACCTATACTCAGAGTGGTAGTTACTCTAAATACCAACAGAGAGGCAAAGAGTCTTCAAATCAAGTTTCAATGCTATCTACTCTGTACACAGGGTAGATAGGAACGGGCAACTTAGACATTGGCTACCTAAAACAAGGGGGCAATAAAGGCACGAAGTGACTGGCTTACAAGGTTTCAAGAGGGAGTTTAGTTTAAGAGGGTGGGGGAAAGAAAGAGTCCCCACTGAATAGCTATCATCTTGTCTAGATGGGTCTGGTGAAAAGAGATGGTGATAAGATTCATAAGATTCAATAATGAATAACTGTTAACATGACTAATCACGACTGTCACAATTGGAAAGGTAGAAGTTTTGTAACAAAAAAAGGGGAGTGGTTAATTTTACAGTCCAGAAACAGAAGACCCTAGGACCATCAAGAGAGGAATGCACAAGCAGAATGCGGGACCTTATCCAGAGAAGCAGCAGCGCCAGAGATGGAGGCAGAAATGGGGGCATGAAGAGGGGGAGCGGCTGAGGACTCTAGATTCATGGACTAAGAAGAGAAGGACTAAGAGCTGATGGCCAGGAGCAGACTTGCAGAATATGCCCTTTGGAGATGTAAATTATTATATATGCCTGAGTGGGGGTTTTTTGAGTTTTTTTTTTTAAAAAGCTAAAGTGGATAGAGAGAAATACTGTTAACTGGTGGTACATGGAGGGGATTATAATCAATATAATGAAACAAGGTATATGATTTGTTGAATGTAAAACTGATGATATGCCCTGAAAACTTTCACTCAATTCACAATAAAAACCTTAAATTAAAAAAAAAAAAAAAAGGAGGGGTGAGACTGATTTTGCAGCCTAGGAGCAGAGGTCCCTGGGAGCAAAGAGCGGGACCCTGAACTCAGGGAGGAAAGGAGAGGGGCTGTGTGCTGTAGCCTGGGAGGCGGGCCTGTGGGGTGAACCCTTTGGTTATCTGATGATGCATGAGGGGATTGTAATCAATGCAATGAAACGAAATACGACAGGATGAATGTAAATCTCACAATAAAAGACTTATTAAAAAAAAAAGGAAGTGCATGAGTAGAGGGTAAGAACCCTCCCTATAAAAGTGGTGACAACAGCGAATGTGGCAGAGGTGGTAGCACGGAAATTCAGAGCAGCTGTGGGTTCTAGGCCCATAGAGTGAGTCAGGCTGTGTGCCCTTTGGACATTTAAATGAATATATTTTTTTTACTTTGTATGTTGTTGTCGTTATGTGCCGTGGAGTCAGTTTCAACTCTTAGTGACCCTGTACAGGGTTTCCGAGGCTGTAAATCCTTATGGGAGCAGAAAGCCTCATCTTTCTTCGTGGAAAAGCTGGTAGTTTTGAACTGCTGACCCTGAGGTTAGCAGCCATTATGTATGTATGCATCAAATATTTTTTCTTTGTTCATTTGTGATATCTAAAATGTAAATGGAAAGACACAGGGAAGAAGTACCATGACTGCTGTTGCAGGGAGGGGATTGTAAATAGTGATATGAAGCAAAATATTTATAATTTGTTGGATGTAAAGCTGATGATCTTATCTGTAAACCACTCAATTCACAATAAAAACTTAAATAAAATAAAATAGAAATATCTATTTGAAAAAAGGAATAAAAAGTTCATGGAAAAATGGAATTAAAAGGTAATCGAATTTTTCCATCACATTTTGGAAGCCCCCTCATTTATAAAATCCACAAGAATCCACAGAAGTTTAAGGGGTACTGGGTTTCTGTTAAGGTGATGAAAAAAGTTGGGAAATGGATAGTGATGACTATTGTACAACATGGTGAGCATAATTAATTGTCAAAATAACAAAATGACATTTTATTTTTTTATGGCTATATATATCTTATTTTATACAATAAAATATTTAAAAATTATTTGGGCTAAGTAGAAGGGGTTGGGGATATAAATGAAACAAAGCTGCTATGATTTAATGATCAGAGCTAGCTGACAAGTACAGGGGGTGCATCATTATAAATGAAATTACTTTTGCATATGTTTACATGCAAACATTTTTTATAATAAGTTAAGGAGGACAGTTAAAGATGGTGAAACAAAACTAATTTGAAGTTATCAACTATGAGTAATATGAAGGCTATATGCTGTTGTTAAGTGCCATCAAGTTGATTCTGACTCATAGCAACCCTGTATACAGTTTCCAAGGAGTGACTGGTGGGTTTGAACAGCTAACCATGTGATTAGCAGTCCAAGGCTTATCCTATATAGTGCCACACTAGAATTCTATAAATGTCTTTATTCATATTCAATTAAGTGGCTGCATTCCCAAATACAGGGTCCAAAGAGTAGTTGGTTAATTTTCAGAAATATCCAATACATGATATACAGTTGATCCCATAAAGATTTACAGTCTCAGAAACCCTATATAGGGTCACTATGAGTTGAAATCAACTCCATGGCAGTGGGTCTGGTTTTTTGTTTGGTCCAAGTTCTTGGGAACTGGGAACCACAATTCTCTTTGCATTCCTGGTATATATCACATAGCTGCTTAGCAGTCTAAGAGAATTTGGAAATTTTTCATCAAGAAATAATTATTGTGGAAAATGGCAGTATATGCCTTAGCTATCCAATAACATCAATATTCTCAATATTCAACGGTTGTTAAGTGCCCTGAAGCGCCAAGAAAATCACCATATATCACAACCACAGAGCATGATTATAATATTTAAAAGTCATGCAATATTAAAACATAAGCAAACCTTTTGGTATCAATTTTAATAGCAACAAAACTGTTTGAGGATGCTTCTGTCACTTTCTCATCTTCCCAACTTGTGGCCATCTGTGTAGACTGCTCATCATTACCTGTAAAACATTTCAAGGATTCATATAAAGTCATATCTGTTGATTGCAATTTGTTTTCCTTGGAAACTTCGAACTTCAAATAAAACATACTTCCACAAATTACATTTCTATCAAATGTTAAAACTGAGTTTTTCCCATAACATGCAAAGTATGAATGCATTGTTGACATAAAGAGCAATGAAAAATGAAATTCTATTTAAGTTTTACAGAGTATTTTTAAAATGTGATGTTTAAATTACAGTGCAAATACTATAACGACAGTAAGAAGTTATCAGTAGAAAGGTTGATTCTGGTTTTTAAGATATTGTGATTTTAAGAAATAAAAGTATAATATCTATCCAGTTGCAGCATCTTTCTGTTGAATGCAACGTCTTCCACATTGAAGTATTTATTCTCCAAAATTCCTCCAAGGTAGAGGATGACCCAATTCTGTTTAGTTCTGGACTTGCCTTTATTATACAATGGGGCTTCAAAATTTTTGTGGGAAAATGTAGTTAAAAGATAATTAAAACTTCCCACAGACTTTGTGAAGCCCTCTTGTAGGTAAGCTAATTATCTATTTAATAAAAGTTATGTGATTCAAACTAATGTATGGAGCTAGAACTCAGTATAGTGGCTACCTTGGTAGTACAAATGTTTTATAGCTTTGTGAGTTGCACAGGTGTATTCGTAAAACGAAAATTAAGATGTTACTCAGTATATGTGCACTTAACACCACAATAAGAAATACTCCAAAAGTTATACCTAGTTAAGATTCATATTTATATAGATCAAGTCTGTTTCAAGTTTAACTTGTAATGTCTAGATTTAAGAATAACCACTTCAATGGTGGGCAGAAGGAAATTTACTTGATTGAGCCACTGAAAATATTTGAGGTTTGCAAAGCTAAGTGCTTTCTCAAAAGCAAGCAGCCTCTATCAATTTACAGATTAAAGAATGTTTTCAGGCCACACTTTTGAGTTTTACAAAAATGAGATCATTCTATACCTACTCTTTTTGTAAGCTGTACTCTATTTAATCTACTCTTGTTGTTATGTGCCTTGGAGTTGGTTCTGACTCATAGCAACCATCTACAGGGTTTCTGAAGCTATAAATCTTTACAGGAACAGAAAGCCTCATCTTTCTCCTGAAGACCAGGTAGTAGTTTCAAATTGCTGTGAGACTAGCTGCCCGATTCATAACCACTATGCTATCAGAGTTCCTTAATCTATTTAGCCACAATAATTTATGGTAATTCCAGAACAATAGGGCTCTGGGATATAGGGATTGAGGAATGGTCGGAATGGGCAACAGGGGGGAAATAATGTTAAGATGCTTGGCTGTCTTTTGAATCTTGGTTTCCCTTGCATACCATTAAAAAATAGACACCTGAGGAAGAGACAAAGGAATAGCCAGAAATACCACAATAGAAAGCTTTTAAGTAAGTCTTCTGCCTACAATTGATTGGAATACGTAAAATGGGGCTACAACGTGCCCAGCCAGTGAAGGAGGCTTCCTGTGGAGCCTCTGCATTACATAAGACCATAGGTGGCCCAATCCTGAAGCTCACCCAGAATCTTCTGAGGTGGGAAATTGCCCTGGAAAGGACAAGCAGACCAGCCTGGAGTGGCTAGAAGAACAGAAGATAACTCTTAAAAGAAAGACCGACAGAAAAAATACAAAACAATAATGGCAGTCCAACTGACTACTAGACTGACTACTACAAGAACAAGCAAGTTACTGGCCCAAGAGACATCAAGGCAAGCAGTTGGGTCCCCTCAGGGCAAACCTCTTTCCAAGCCTGAGACTCAATGGGAATACATGAGCAGACACGTGCTCTGACTCGTGACCACAATGGTCACCGATAAGGGGAAGTGAGGGAAACACATCAATGAAGCTGCGAGCTAAACCCAACCACGCTCAATACACTCCACTCCTGTGAACCCGGGTGGAAGCCTGGTTGGTCAGCAGTTTGGCAGGACCTGGGACTCCAGGGCCCAGAGTCAATGACATAGCCACTGAGGACTAGAGTGGAGAATGACCATACAGCTGATAAGAAGAGAGGGCATATGCACAAGAACAACCACACTTGCAGATAATACCCACTTGACTAGGCTTCAATGGCTGGATGATCAAAGCTTAACTAGAAGAAAAAAGAAGAGGAAAAAAAGAATAAACTGATACAATTTGATGTACTTGACCTACACCTATGGGTGCAGGAGCTCAAAAGAGGAAATAAATCTTTACAGCGAGGATCATTCCCATTCCCTCAATACACAGGGTAGACAGGGATGGGCAACTTGGACATGGCTACCCAAAGTGGGGGGTCTACAAAGGCAAAAAGTGACTGGCTTACAAGCTTTCAAGAGGAAACCTAGATCCAGAGGGCGTGGAGGAAGTTAGAATCTTCACTGAGTAGTATCCATTCTGTCCAGGTAGGACTGATAAAAGGAGATGTGGACAGCACTCGTGTGGTACAATAGTGAATAATTACTATCAGGACTGACTGTGAGGGTTGGAAATATAAAGGTAGACGTTTTGTAGCAAAAGGAGGGGAGTGGGTGACTTTGCAGTCCAGAAGTGTAGGTCCCTGGGACTATCAAGGGAGAAGAGTGGAGTGCAGGACCCTACCCAGAAAAACAGTGATGCCAAAGATGGAGGCAGAGATGATGACGTGGAGAGAGGGAGCGGCTGTGAACTCTAGACCCAGAGAGAGAGAGGGGCTGTGTGCTGACGACCAAGGGGCAGACTTGTGGTGTGTACCATCTGGTTGGTTGATGATGCATGGAGGAGACTGTAACCATGGCAATGTAACAATATGCAATAGGATAATTATAAAGCTAATGTTCTCCCGTGTAAACTATCTCATGATTCACAATAAGATATTTTAAAAAAGAAAAAGGTAATTCCATCCTTTCAGTTGTCATGCCCAAAACCTTAGTTATTCTTGAGTCCAGATGGTTCTAATTTCAAAATATACTCAGAATGAAACTATCTTGCACCAATTCCACTGCTTAAACCTTGATTCAAGACACCATATCCCCTTTGTTGTTGTTAAGTGCTGTTGAGTAAGTTTGTACTCATGGTAGCCTTGTATAGGGCTTCCAAGAAGCTGCTAGTGGGTTTGAACTGCTGACCTTGTGGTTCACAGTCTAATGCTGAGCCTTCAACACCACACCAGGAGTCCATATCCCCTCTAGATAGTCACAATATCTGCCTAATTGGCTCCCATTTGCAGTCTACTTAACATAGCAACTTTATTTATGAAAGCAAATCATATCAATACTGTTAAATCTTCTACAAAGGCTCCCAACTTTCCTGAAAATAAAAGCCAAAGTGATTACAATAGCCCACATGGCCCTACACAGGCCTTCAGATACCTCTGGCCTCATTTCCTTTCACTTACCCACTCCTCACTCTGTTCCCGCAGCACTGGCTTCCTTGCTGTCCCTCTGATTATAAAGACATACTATTCTCTAGCCCTAAAGCCTTTGTTTGCTCTGCCTGGAATGTTTTTGTCCCAGACAGCAATATGGTTAACTCTCAAATTGCTTAAGTCTTTGCTCAAATATAATGTTCTTAATAAGGCCTTCCCTAATCACTCACTTCAAAATCACACCCTCTGACATTCCCAAAGTTCCCTTATCACCTGCGTTTTTGTCCTCTTGTACTATGTATCAACCTCTAATATACTGTTTTATTTATTGTCTCTTCTCACAGAATGAAAGGCAACATTTTTTTCTTTCTTTTTAATTTGCTGATGTAACTCAAATGCCTACAACATAACCTGGCATACAGTAGCTACCAGGCATGCAAGTAATTTGTATAATTGTTGTTAAGAGCCGTCACGTTGGTTCCGACCCATAACAACCCCTCATAGGGTTTCTGAGGAGTGACTGGTGATGTTAAACCGCCAACCTTGCAGTTCAAACTGACTTTGCAGTCCAGCACATTAGCCCACAGCTCCACACCAGGACCCCACTTGTAAAACGAGTAGTTAAATTTCTGCAATTATAGACAATGGTATACGAAGTATTCTGGCATGCCTAAAATACTTGACTCTACTACTGCACATGTGAATGTATTTTGCATGAGCTGAGGTCCAGGAATACCAGGAATAAGGGCTTGAGAAATGTGGCCATGGAAAAGTTAACAGAGATTAGAGTGCATCCACAAACCAAAACCAAAAAGAATGTTTGTTCTATTAGGAGATTTAAATGTTGAAGATACAAAATGAGGGAAAACTACCATTCTGGGTATGTCTTCACACTATGGACTGAGGAAAGTTATAAAATTAATTCTGTGTTAATGACATGACTATCAACCTACAAAGTATCTATTATGGGACACTCTTACTAAAAACACTTCAGAGGAAGCTTCTAAGGGATTCTTTCCATTTGTTCACTACTGGATTGCACTTATATGCTAGGCACTGGACTACAAACACATGAGACACAATGTCTACCTTTAATGGAGCTTACAATTTAATAACAGGAACCACTGGGTGGCACAAATGATTACATAATATTTTGACTACTAGCCAAAAGGTTAATGGTTCAAACCCACCCCGAAGCACCTGGGGAACTAGGTCACATACTAGAAAATTCTATGGAACACTGTTACACTCTGCACATACAAGGTCTTCTTGAATTGGAATCAACTTGATGGCAACTAAAAAATAACAATAATAAAATCTAATTGTAGAAAAATATGTTACACAAATGTTAAGTGCCAGTGATTCCATTCCGACTCATAGTGGCCCTCTATAGGGTTTCTGATGAGCAGTTGGTGGGTTTGAATCTTTGACCTTGTGTTAGTAGTGCAGTGTTTATCCTTCAATGTGACACCAGGGCTCCATTAAACAAGTAAACAACCATAAACAAATAATCACAGTAATTAATACTGTGAAGAAAAAACTATGAGAGAAAAAATAAGGGCCTTAGCGCTGGTGATACTGTAGGTCAGGCAATGGGCTGCTAACCAAAAGTCAGTCATCAAAACTGCTACCTGGTCGGAGAAGA